TACACGAGGTTTATGCTTGTGTTTTAGAAGGCAGACGTACTGTTTTGTGTTCTTTTGCACATTACTTGCTGTTTCTGGGTTGAGTGCAGCAAAAATCATGTTTAGACTACCCAAATACAGTTAAGTCTCCTTTATCTTGGGTAATGGAGATCTGGGGTGTCGCACCTGACAGACAAGCCTGAATAAGATGCATTAGATTGGGCTGAGTCATCTGACCTCAGATTCAGCACTGCATAGCCACACGAACATGTGCATTTCACTGACCACTGCTCTGGGCTCAGGAGTGTCATTTCCTTGAGAGTACCATGTAGAGACATTTGTAGCTGATTCTTTCTGGTCAGGGCCATTTGAGTGTGTTGCATACTACTCTTCAGCACAGAAAATTTGGGGGATATGGCAAAGGCACAGCTAGAAATCCTGCAGGTTTCATTGAGTTTCATAAAGGTCCTGAGCTAGTGCTGTTGCAGTTTAGTCAATAGTTAGTGTGATCTGCAACACAACATGATTTGCTGGTGGATACTGATATTTACCATAGTGTCAACCATTGTCAAGACTGCAGAGTAAGTCCCCTTTCATGATTTTCAATATTCTTCAAAGTGGTCTTCACTGGATTGAAAAATCCTTATTCCTAGTAGCTGATGGAAGAGGTAATCTTTTGAAATAGTTTAGTCAAATCTACAGGGTTTTTAAGCTTAGAAAGAGGGAAAAAAGACAATTAAAATGTTCTTGTCATCGTCATCTTTTTTAAAAAAGTGGCTGCACAAGAAAATGGAAGCAGACCTCTGTAGGCTAGAAATATGTTTCTTCTCCAGGTTCTCTGTGATACAAGGACAGCTTGGAAAAGTTTATAGAAGTTGAAATGATTCAGAGCTCCGCTGTGAGAATGTTTTTAATTACCACCCCCCCTCCAAATTATAGCCAGTATTTTTAGGTAAACACAAATGTGTGAATGATTCTTTAAATAATCATTTTATGATGATACAGAATTGGAATCCAGATCTCTTCTTTGTAAACAATATGTTTATTGTGCATTCCATAAATTCCATGGATTTTATCCTGCACTTTCCTGGAGACATAGGTGTCTCTGTTACCTCCACTGATGCGGGAACCAAGGTGCTATAGGTAACCATTAAAAGACAAGTGACTCACATTTCTTCCTTGCTGATCTGCAAGACTTGGCTGGATACAGTACTCCTTTCAGGTAGGCACCGTCAGTTGGTGACTTGGCCACATTTGCAATGTGAAGCTGGAGATTAGCTCCCATGTCCTGCATTGACTGGGACTGCCTGGTTCTAGGCTCCCCAGTACAAGACATGAACAGGAAGAAGAAGCCAAACTCTTTTCAGTGGTGCCCAGTGACAGGACAAGAGGCAATGGGCACAAATGGAAATGCATGGTACTCCATCCAAACATAAGAAAACTCTTTTTTACTGTGAGGGTGGTCAAACATTGGAACAGGTTCCCCAGAGAGGGAGTGGAGTCTCCACCTGTGGAGGTACTTGAAACCCAGCTGGACACAGCCCTCCATAGCCTGTGTAGCTGACCCTGCTTGAGCAGCAGAGGTGGGCTGGATGATCTCCAGAGGTGCCTTTCGGCATCGATTCTGTGCTTCTGTGACTCTGTCCCTTTATTCCCTTTCCTCTTGCCACACCACTCCTAGTCAGTCTAAATACCTTTTCCATCTGCTTTAGGATGCCAATGGCCAGGTAAAAAGACTTTTTTCTTTCCCATCCAAGCACTGCCTCAGTTGGGAGAATTTCCACAGGCCTGGTCCTACTCATTAATTTTAAAGCTGTTTTGATTCACAAACTTCATTAAATAAAAGCTTCTTGTCACACCCTTAAAAAAAGATAACATCACAAGCCCATTTTACAGGTCCAGGAAACCTATAATCATACCACTATCTTACCTATGCCAATTACAAGCCAGTGTTCTGAGCTTTATTCTTGTTTGTCTAACTCTCTGCAGTCATTTATTTCAGCATGACATTTTCTCATACTCATTCAGTACTGTTTCATGTTCAGTTCATCCTGGAGAAGAAAGCTTCCCCTAGTGAATGGGAGGTATAAATCAAGTCCTCTGTTGCTCTGTTACCTTGTATGTACAGTAGCACTAGCCCTGTTTAAAATAATTTGCACAAAGTTTGAGAATTGCAGACTGAAAGGATGTGTGTGTTCTCATTCTCCGTGTAGATGGCCTTGACTTTGTAGCTTTGTACATCTCGTCTGTGGGTCAAAATGAGTGTATGTAATGAGTATACAAGTTTGGGTTTGGTGGCTTTAGCTTGGCCTCTGGCAATTTATTCTCCCCTCACCTATTACTTGCAAGTGTGCATCAGGTGCAAAGCGTCTTTTTTCTGTAGATATGCTCTGTGTTCCTGGTGGTGCCTGCCCTGGGATTTCAGAAATGCTGTAATGTGTTCATGTCATTTATCTGTGTCAGAACTCCAGGAAAATACTAAGAGGCAGGAGAAGCCCACAGGATTTTCTGCAATCCCTCATTCAGCAACTGCATCAGCCACTGTGCTTGGCTGATGGTTCCATCTTCTTGGTTTGGGGATTAAACCTAGGAAAGACCCCGCTTCCTCGAGCATGGATTTTCCTCTCCTTGGCACCTTCTGGCTGATCTGGGAAAAAATGAGACAGTGACATCCTTTTAACAACCAGTTATTCTGTGGATTAGGTGGCGGCTGTGGGAAGAGGACATGCAGTAGCTGGGTGGGGCCTGGGAGAGCTGAGGAAGTTGTGGGTGCAGCCCTCCGGGAGAAGAAACAGCTCACACTTTGGTGAAGCAACTCTTCTGTGAGCCAGTTTGCTCTGGGGAAAGTGGGAAAACGGGGCATTCGGTGCTGGAGAGCAGAAAGCTTGTTACCGCTGCAGTGCTCCTAGTCTTTGCCACAATACTGAAGCAGGTGCTGGGGGAGGTAGGTAATGATGTCCTGACAAAAGAGAGGACCTAGAAGTTGGGAACCTCTCCCCTTCCTGTGATGTTTCCAGATTGTGCTTGCGAGTAGGAGATATGTCCTGCACCCATAACTTGGAGCCTGATTTTAAGCACCTGTGTACCTTAGCAGAACTTTTCTCTTGACATATGCCTGAAAGCAGGATGTCGGCTTCTCTTCTAGTGTTCTAATGTTTGAGACCCTTTTCTGTAAAAATCAAATTCTTGGAGTGCTATGATTGTGAAGGAATCACAGCTTCTGTTGCAAAGTGTTTCTTGCCTGTGTGGCTGGGAAAATGTGGAAACTGAAGTAAAGCAGAAAGTTGAAAACCAGAATTTACATCCAATTTAATTGTCTGATTTTGGACTTGACCAGTGATTTTTGGATGTTGGGGAACTGAAGCCAATGTCAGTGAATTTGAATCCAAATAGTTCCCAAATTGCATTAGAGGAGGATTTTAGTCAGAAAGATTAGGTCTCTTCTTAGGAGAGTTGTGAGAGTACGTGAGCCATGTGTTGTACATTAAAAGAAAGGGATACTGTTGATCAGCAGGGAACAGATACTTCAACTCAGAACCAGAAGACCGGAGAGGACACCCTTTTCAAGTATTTTATTTTGAAATGTATCTTTCTGAAATTAATTTTGCACAGAGACTTCTGTTGTTTGTTAATAATCAGGAAGGATCTGAAAACAACTTCCAGTTAAGTCCTGTAGGCGGGTTTTGTGTGCAAAGATGTGGGACATGTAGTATTTAATGAAAAATGTGAACTGATTTGACTCAGTTTGGACAGTAGCACTGTAGTGGCTTAAGATCTTGTATCAAACAGAACGGTCAGTTCAACTTCAATGTGAAGCATTCTCCTGTAATAATACCAAGAGAAGGCAGAGATTATTCCAGGAACACAGGGGTGTTTTAGCCCTCTTTAGCCCTCTGCTAAAGGAAAGCGTGAAGCTAAAAGAGACTGTACAGTTCAAAGAATAGAAGTTCTGGTTGCTGCTGTCACTGGTTCTGCACTTCTTAGTACCCTTATAAATTCAAAACACTTGTGGGAGAAAAAAAACCCCAACCTCCCCAAAGTTAAATTATTTCTTGTATCTTGTATTATATCTTGTATCTGAAACCTTCTGCAGAACGTGTGTAACCCACTGTTGCAAGGAGGGGGAGTATCATGCCCCTTCATGATTAATCCATTTAGTTTCAACTTCAGCAGGTTTTGAACAAGACAGTTTGTTCTTTGGTGATTACTGAATAAAATGCCGTGAACTTTCCCATGTAAACTGTGAAGTGAGAGAAGCTCACTGATGAAGAAGTAGGCTTGAGATGGGAATCATCTCACTGACTGTGTCTTGCCTTACCTGGCTGTGGAGAGTGGTACAGTTTGGTCCTCAGACTTTCTCCTTCTGAAGTCTTCCAGAAAGCTGGTAGATTGCCATGATGAGACCATCCCTGCAACTGAGATGATGAATCTGTGATGTTGAAATCAGTACAAGCATCATCCTTTTAAGGTTGTGCTTGGAACAAGATTTAACTGAAAACTGAGTCAGACCACACATCCAACATGTACAAACATCCCTTAGGAAGAATTTCAGGCCTTGATTTCCCAATGATGTTCATAAAAGTAGGATTGGTCCCATAATTCCTGGTTAAACTCAAAACCTCAACAACAAAGTAATTTGACTTTGGTTAATTACAACCTGTCTTCATCAACTGCAACTGGCTTGTTTCTGTTATGGTGAGATTTTATGCCATGACCATAACAAACCAGCAGGAGAGAGACAGAAGACAGGGATTAAATACAGTTAAGAAATCAGTCAGAATAATTTAAATAGTTTTTCAATAAAAAACTTCTTGGCAAGCTGCCTTGACACTTGGCAGAAACATTCTCTTTCCTTTTAATGTGTCGGGAAAATTTGAGAACTTTCAGTTCTCAGTGTGGACTGATAAGCTGCAGTAAGGTTCTTCTTCAACAATAGAACTTGTTTACATATTCCTCTTCAGAGGAGCTTGTATTGAATGACTTACCTTTAAAAAAGAAAGACCAGGCCCACTTAAGGAAATGCTTAATATAAGAACCAAGACCTAGTGCAGATCTTAAGGTAAATGTTTTCTCAATTTTGGTATAGTTACAGGTATCATTGAAATACTGTGTCATTGTTCTTAGCACAGGACCTGCTGGTCCATGTCACTGTTAACCCCTTTGATATTAAACAAATCATAAAATATAATTGAAACATTTCTTAAGAGCAATCAGAGCTAAAAAACAAAATTTCCACTGATGGCTCTATTCCTCTGCCATCCAGCAGTCTGCTGATTCAGCAACGCCAGGGTGCAGCTGAATTTCACTGAAACTAATCAATGCTTACACATAGCTTTTGTGATAACTGTGTGTCTTGTTGGAAAGTAGCTAGCAAGCACACTTACCCTTGGGCCTTCTCTCATGGTAGAAACATATCTTTTTCATTGGTCTTGGTACATCCTTGAATGTTCCTGTAGCCAGTGATACCAAAGGGATTTCCCAGAGATGATGAAAAAGAACAACTGATATACAGGCTGGTGGGCTGTGCAAAAGAAAGGTGGAAATCAGCTGTTGAACGAGTGAGCAGAATGTGTAACCATTATGTGTTTTATGCCTTAATGTAATAGAAGTTACAATATTCCTTAGGTAGGTGGTCTGTTTATAAAATTGCTTTTGACACCTGTTAATTAAATTAAGAAACAGTTTCTTGAAAAGAAAACTTCCAAAAGACCTTTCTGGAAGGACACTTGATCTAAAATAGTCCCTAAGCACATGCGCGTATGGAGTATAGGTTGTATGGCCACAGGCAACCACACCATATAATCACAGTCATAAATATATCCCATACTATTTTTAAGTAAAACACCTGTAAACACCTACATAGTGAAGTAGCTTCCACATCTTTTTTGCTGCCAAGTAATAAAAGAAAAAAAAAGAAATCTTGTTCCATGTCTGAATCATAAGGGATAACTGATCAGAGGACTTGCTTGAACAGCATGAAGACTGACCAGGCAGAGCAGTCTTGGGTCTCAGCACTCAGCTCGTAACCACCCTCAACACCGATTTAGTTGATAACCCAAAACCGTTCAGGAAAGCCATTAACACCTTAAGCAAAAAACTTTTACTCCAAAAGGCAGAGATAAGGTTTTTCAGAGATTTTGCATGTTAGGTGTTTAGCAACAGCGCTGAAAAGTGCTTCTAGGCAGACAGTCTGTTCTTTTTTCTAATGAGACTAATTGCATGCCAGTGGCAGCGTGTGAAAGGTAGTGATTCATAAAGAACAACTAATTCTCCAGAAATTCAAGAAGGATGCAGTTAATTTGGGCCTTTTTTTTAAACGTTGATTTGCCAAGTTTCCTGTTTGTGCAGTGTCTGTGCAGACCTCACTTCACACCATTGATGAGGCTGTTTCCTACTGCCAGGGGAGAGACGAGTGGTTGTAGTGGAGGAGTTGAATTGTTGAGTACAGCAATTCTATGCCCAGTTTTGTTACCCGCTGATAACTTTGCAGATTTTTTCTGTGCGTTGTTTCGCTATGAAAGACTGAAGATGCACAGCTAGCATAAGCATCCATTCCTTGTGACTAGGTTTCTGGTTGCTCTGTCCTTATTTTACAACTGATGTTTGACTTGGATTAGGAGAAACAGAGGTAAGTTACTCCAGTAAAAACCAAGTGG